TCCCAGCTGGGTGTGAACACCCACAACCTATCCATAATGTAACTGACCAATGGTCCTAGTACAGAGATTTTTCTGCCATATTCTGGGTTAAATAGGCCTTTGTGGCCTAGCTCAGGAGCCCACGTAGGACTCTAAATATTGTTCATTGGAGAAAATGTGCTCTGAATATTCCAAACATGCACATATTGGACAGACGATGTGTTTGGAAATTGAAGTCCCATTACACACCAACTTTTACTGAAATCCAGCAAGAAAATGAGTTCCAATGAGCAAATGGACTCACATGCTTTGGTTGATCAGCCATAAATGTTTTGCTCCCCAGATCTGTCTAACTCTCTCCCTGGATGCAATATCCAGTTGCTAAGTAGCCGTACAGGACTTGGTTGGAGGGAACAGGCAGAAAGCTTGTGGAAGCAACATTCCTCAAATAGCCAGGTGCTTCTGGGTGCCTTCCCACTGTGGAGGGGATAGTTAAGAAGAAGGTAGCTCTCTTTTAGAGATGTTGTGGGTGCAATCTAGCCGGAAGGCAGTTAGCCTTTCCCTAACCATCTTTAGGGAAGATTCTAGAACATCTCTTATGAACAAAACAGTGAGATGTGCTGGTCTTGAGGTCAAAAGTTTTTTGGTGCTTTCCTGCTAATTTGCAGTATGACCTTGGGTGAATCGCTTCATAGGCTCCAGAACTAGAAGGGACCTTTGACATTGTCAAATCCATCCCCCTCTTTTTAAAAAAAAAATATTAACTTTTTGTTGCATTTTGAGTACTGAGTTGTCTTCCTCTCTCCCTCCCAACCCTTCATTAGAGGAGGTCAACATTTGACACAGATCTATGTGTGGAACCATACAATACATACTTTCATATATCAGTTCTTTCCTGGAGGTGAGTAGCGTTTTCCACCTTCATAGTTGAGTTGAATGTTCATATTACTCAAAATAGCTTACTCATTCACAGTTACTCTTGACATAATATTGCTACTACTGTATACAATGTTCTCTTGGTTCTGCTGATTTCACTCTGCATTATTTCATGCAAGCCTTTCCATGGTTTTCTAAAATCAACCTGCTCATCATTTCTTACAACGCAGTAGTATTCCATCACAATCATATACCACAGCTTGTTCAGCCATTCCCCAATGGATGGTCACCCCCTCAATTTCCAGTTCTTTGCCACTACAAAGAGAGCTACTGTAAATATTTTAGAACATATAGGTTCTTTTCCTTTTTCCCTGATCACCTTGGGAAACAGACCTAATAGAGGTATTACTGGGTCAGAGGCTATACACAGTTTTATAACTCTTTGGGCATAATTCCGAATTGCTCTCTGAAACAGTTGGATCAGTTGACAATTCCACCAACAGTGTTTTAGTATCCCAATTTTTCCACATCCTCTTCAATTTGACGTTTTCCCCTTCTATCATTTAACCAATCTAATAGGTGTGGGATGGTATCTCAGAGTTGTTTTAATTTACATTTCTCTAATCAATAATGATTTAGAACATTTTTTCATATAACTATGATTTGATTTCTTTTTCCAAAAACTTCCTGTTCATATCCTTTGACCATTTGTCAATTGGGGAACGACTCATATTCTTACAAATTTGATTCATTTCTTTATGTATTCGAGATAGAAGGCCTTTATCTGAGAAACTGTCTATTCCACCCCCAATTTTCTGCTTTCCTTCTAATCTTGGCTATATTGGTTTTATTTGTAAAAAAAAACCCTTTTAATTTAATGTAATCAAAATTATCCCTTTTAATTTAATTATCCCAAAATTATCCCACAATGCTCTCTATCTCTTGTTTATTCATAAATTCTTCTCCTATCCATAAATCTGATAGGTAATATATTCCATGCTCTCAACCCCCTCTTTTTAATAGAGAGGGAAATGATGTCTCAGAGAAGGAAAACAATTTGACCAAAGTTGTGCATAGAGTAAATGGAGCCAAAATTCAACCCCATGCCCCTGCCTTCAAATTCAGTGCCATCTCTTACATCATTCTGCTTACTTCCCCTTTCTGAGTCTTGTTTTCTTCTCTGTCTCCAATAAGGGGCTTGACCCTGCCAGTTCTGATGCTGTATGAGTCCATATGTGGCCGTTGTTGAATACTCTGCCTCTGGGCTAGTCTACACTGCCACAGGGTAGTCATCACAATGGCAGTGCTAGGGTCGGTCTCAATCAGAATGGCCTAGAGTTCAGTCATCACCAGAGAAGGAGTTCTGGCCTGAGTTAGAACCAAGAAGCTCCCATCCATTCAACTCAGGTGGGAAATTCATTAGCACCTGAGTGTAAGATCACAGAGAGATCTGTTGAAAAGAGGGTAGGGGCTATATCACAACATTAATTAACTCCTGTCTTAAAAGGGACTAGCATTAAATCTGTAATGGAGAAACACCAGCGGCACGCTGTCATAGACCAAACAGAGGGTGGCCGTAAATTTTGATGAGCATTTGTGTTCCTGTAAGAGGGAGCAGCATGGCATGGGGCTGTACTGGAACTTGGGAGGCTTGGGTTCTATACAAGGCTCTGCCACTCACTTGCTGTGTGACTGTTGATGAATTATTTCCCTACTCTGGGCCTCATTCCTCTCTCCCTGCTCCCTGCTGTACAATGAGGGGTTGGAAGAAGGTGATTTCTGCAGGCCTTTCAAACTGTTCCCTTTCCACTGTGCTCAGAATCCTTGAGGGTGGGGGACTGCCTCTTCTGCCACACCTGGGAGATGGGCGCGGTACCGAGGACATCCTCAGGTCGAACAGGCACAGTTGGATGCTGGATAAAATGAGGAGGGCCAAAACAACATGGGAGAACTACCATCCCTTGTTTGGAGAAGAAAAACAAATGAAGAGGATTTGAGCCTGCTTCCTTTTGGCACATTCCCTCCCCCATATCCTCCCCACTCCTTTCCCTCCCCATCCCTCTCCCCCTTCCCTTCCTTTATCTTCCCTCTTCCTCTCCCTCTCTTCTCCCTTCATTGTCCCTTCCCTTCCTTGGAAATGAACTTTAAATCATAGAATTAAAAATTGTTAGAAGTGAAGAGAGGCCAAAAGCCCCCGCCCCATCTCCCAATAGCGTAATGGGATAAGGAGAAAAAAGGAAAAAGCAATGTAAAGCAAAGGATTATGGAATGGTGACACAGATTATTTTCTTCCTTTGCATAGCCATTACTTGGCCCCAGACTGGGGTAGGCAGGAATATCGGGGGAGCCCATGGAGTCCGAGCCTGGCCTTCTGGAAATGGATGGGCACCATTTACAAAACCATTGACAAGCATTTGTGCGTCTAGTTGTCACTTTGCTCACTCATCTTAATCAAGTGCCTGCTTCCAGGTCATTTCTTTCTCTCCTTAGCAGGAGCACATGGATTTGTCAGCTCTGGGCTCCAACCCCCACCAGATGAGGCTCTTGCACCAATTCCCACAATCCATCTGCTAAGCTGCCATTCCTCACAGGTCCTTTCCTCTCTTCCTCTGACTGCAGAGCAGTGATTTGTCATCCTTCCCTCTGGCTCCTAGTTGCCCACGGTGGCTTTACTTTGCTGACTCCTACTCTGTCTCCCATCAATCAGGAGGCTTGCTGAATGCTGGGAAGGGGACTGTTGCTTGGAGGGGGCTCAGAGCTTTCCCTGTTGTTCTTCTCTCACAGGAGAGGAGATCCAGGAAACCACACACATTGCTTGAGATTGGGAGCGTGCTGGCCTGACTCTCCTTGGATTCTTTCTTCCTCCTCCACTTGCCTCGGTTTTTATGCTGTAAAGGAACTTGCCATGAACAAGAAGTACAAAGTTGAGATGCTGTGGCCCTTGCCTGAACTAGGCCAGATGTTTGCCATGACAGAAGAACTTCTATAGGAGGGGACTCTGGGGAGCCTGGCCTAGTCGCTTTCCCTCTCTGCATCTAAGGGGTCTCCCAACTCTCATATTTGATGATTATGCTAGGGGAATATAAATTTGGTTGGAGCAGAAAGAGCCCTGGGTTTGGAATGAGATCAAACCCTGGCTGTCCTTGTTGACTACCTAGGGGACTTTGGGCCTTGGTTTCCCCATTTGTAAAGTGGTGGGCTTGGGCTGGGTGAGCTGTAAGATCTCTTAAGATCTGAGATCATTTGACCAAGTGGTGGTATCAAGAAGCTGACTCAAGCTTAGGCAAACCTCAGTTTATCCTGGTAGTTTGGCCCCTCTCATTTTCCATTAGCTTCCTAGCACTCCCCTGGGCTCTGTCCCATTGCCATGTTGCTGGGGAGGCTGAGGCCTCACAGCTAGAGATGAGAAACCTTCTGGGCCATGAATCCTCTTGCAGCCACCTTCCCAGGGCCTTGTAGGAAGCCAGGATCACTGAATATGGTCTTTAATTCTTCTGTTAGCCTTGGTTTTTTGATCTCCCACAGATTTTCTGGGAGCCCCATCTCTCAGGCCTACAAGTCGCTACATCCATTGCTCCCTCCTTGCCATTTTCCCAGGCTTGTGTTCTTCATTTGCATAACAGCTCTGCTTTGACTGGACTCTGAAGTCTGCCTCCTTTCTCTGACCCTCTCCAGTGCCTCACCCTCAACTCCTGCCGAGTCCACGGCTCTGAATGTCCCAAAAGGAATCCCGAAGGGTTTCTAAGGGGTACCCATTTGGGGAAGTTCTGCAAAATAGCCCAGGCTGGACTTGGAGATTGCCTAATTCTTCCATCATACTTTTGGTGCCTGACGCCAGAGGCCGCAACGATAAACCAGCTTGGGCCCTGGCACCATCGCCTGTCTGGAGGGTTATGGAATCCAGAAAACTGCAATCAGTACTGAGTCAGTGGGATGTCTCCTACATTATCTTTGTGCTGAATGGCAGGAGACATTTCTGCTCCAGGCTGTAGACACAGGGTCATAATGGAGAGAGATGGAAAATATTCCTGGGGAAAGTGAGAACTGCATTTAAGAAATTTCAAAGAAGATGAAGACAGTGGGCCTGAGTGGAGGCATGGGATTATATCTCTTTTTGTGTTTGTATTTTTCTCCCAATGCTCTAGGCTATCTCCAAAGCATGGTCCAGATATCCCGGATGACAGTACTGACAACATCACCATCTTTACCAGGATCCTGGACCGTCTGTTGGATGGCTATGACAACCGACTGAGACCTGGGCTTGGAGGTGAGTCTCTATGTGGTAATCATGTACCATATTGGTTACTGTCATCTGCCAGATGCCCTGAGCTGTGCTGTTATAGTAGCATAGGCCGTGTTCAGTTAGCATGGTCTCAGTCTTTGGATCTTGGAAACTAGGTCTTTGGTCTATGGTGGGGGTTATGGGACAAAGTCTTGTGTTATTGCTTATGGGAGTTTGGGCCTCTTCCTCACTGTTTTCCTCATGAAGCTCTATCCTTAGGCAGCTTCAGTGTACAAGTGTGTCACCATTTACCTTTTGGAAGGGCAAACCTCAGCAGCAGTGGCCCCCTGGCCCTGTCTCTCTGCCTGGGCTTGGCAGCTTTCATCAGGAGTGTCCCTCGGGCAGTGGGTCGGGACTTGCGGCCTTCTTGGGTTTCACGTGGGGTATTTTCCCATTGGAAGTGAGCAACAGGGTTCAGCTCGTGGCATATTCCTGCTAACGAAGAACGTGATCTTCCCTGGGGAGCTCAGCCTGGCTTTCCCTGGCAGAGGCAGCAGGAGCAGCCAGCAGCAGGGAGAATTGCCTTTACCTCAGAAGCCCTGGGCCCTGTTCAGTTTGAAACTCCAAACATGAGTGATTCACTGGCTGAGCTTCCTCAATTTCTAGTCCAGAAACACACTGCAGGATTGGTATTTTGTGTACTGATAGGAGAGGGGATAGTGGTGGCTGGGCACATTGCGTGCAGGGCTTATTTATGTTTCCTGGTTGGCCTAGGAAGATTTGTCTCTATGTTCTAGAGTGGGAAGTGACCTAGGCATGGCTTATCTTCTTCTCTGGTCACTTACCTCTTGGGGCTGATTGGTTCTAGGCCTTTGGTTAAGTGAGTTTCCTCACAAATTGGGGCTTGTGGGCAAAGGCATGGAGGCAATTTAACTAACATTTATTAAACACCTACTATATGGCAGGCCCTGTGCATATAAAAAGTCATCCTAGCTTTGTTACCGAGTCATTATGGCTACATTGTCAAGGGGTTAGAATTGGAAGAGACCTAAAAGGTTATCTAGGGCCTCTCCTCAATGAGCTTATGTTCTACTGGGGGTTACTTCTAGAATATGTGTGCAGATGAGTAAATGCAATGCTATTTGAGGAAAGACAGAGGACTGACAAGAAATATTATTAAGACAGCATTTGAACCCAGGTCCTCTGACAGCATTTTTTTCCACTCTACTTCTTACTAAAAAGTTCCAGCCCCCCATGATTCCCCAAATCCAGATTTGGGAGTACTGGGCATAGGAGATGTGCCCTGCTCTGTGCCTCTTGGGCCTAGAGGAAAGGGTTAAGGCATCAGGCTAGCCCACCCATCCGTTGGGTTTATCACTTTCTTCCAGAATTAACCACAATCCCACTAATAGACTTGCTTCCTTGCATTTCTCTGATGAGTGGATCAATACAGGATGAATCCAGCTGAAGGGGGAGCTGAGGGACGTTCGGGCCCTGTCAGGACTCCATAGCAAATGCAGCTCTTTGGAAGCTATTAATAAGAGTGATGAAGAGCCTCTGGAGATCTCTTTGAGGCCCCTGATTCAATGACTCCCTCGAGCCTTTTCTTTGTGAGATTTAAAACCCTTCCTCAAGCCATTTTGGTAGCCTGGAATGCAATGGATGCCCTTGTCTGGATAACCAAACAAAGGCCTTTTCCCACCAGAAGCAGATCAAACAGATCCTCTATGGGCCAAAGCTACTGGGTTCAAAGAAGGGGAGAAGGAGGACCTTGGGAAAGTTGGGCTGCTAACATATTGTATCTGGTTCAAGGGATCTCCAAGGGAAAGAGCCTTGCCTCTGCTTTCAGAGGACCTGGGTCCAAATCTTGGCTCTACCTGTGTAACCTTGGATAAACCATTGGATCTCTGTGGGCCTCAGGTTCTTTTGTGGAAAATGAGGAAATTGGATGAGATGAATTCTGAGGTCCCTTCCAGTTTTCAATCCATGTTCTAGGCCAGGCAAAATGATACTCTTCAGCCAGGATGAAATTCACGGACCATCTCCTCCTTTCTCTGCTCTTGACTCTCCCTGCTAACAGAAAGTGAGCTCCTCCTCAAATTATCCTAGTGTGCTTACTCTATCCCACTCTGCCTCGTTACACTGGATCCTTCCCATTGGATCACAAGCTCTCTGAGGGCAGAGATCAGGCCTTTTCTCTGGAGCTCAGAGCCCAGCACTTAGGGAATGTTTGGTCAATTGGACTTAATTGCCAGTCTATGGGTTGGCACCCAGAGGGCTTGAAAGAGTTAATTCATCTCCCTCAGCAGCGTCATGGAACCCTCTAGCATGGAATAACTGCCTTTACTAAGAGGCTCTGGCTCACTGAGCATATCATCCTTGTCACGGCTTCTGATTCTCATGGGCGTCTGGGCAAATTGGCGGCCTGGGCAGGAGTCAGCAGAGATGTCAGACTGGGATTGGGCCCCAGGTGCTGCCTTTTTACATACAAAATCAAGAGTCTTCTGGATTAGAACAAAGCATCAATGAGCCAGATTGGGGGAAGATCATTTCCTAAGCATTATTCAGGCAGAGGGCAAGGCATTAGAGCAGCGAACTTTCCAGTTATTTTAGGTTACCTTCTTTGTAATGGGGAGGGGCATCATGGTAGGGACCATTATCCCCATTTGACAGATGAGGAAACTGAGGCTTAGAGAAGAGAAGCTTTTAGGAAGGGACAGAAGTGGGGCTAGAATCTGGGTCAGGCCATCTTATTTCCAGCTCAGTATCCTGTGGATGAGACAGCTCAGGACTGAAGCTCCTAGGGGGATTCCAATCAGTTTCGTGGCCAACAAGAGAACCAGAATGGGTTGGACCCACAAAAGAAATGGCCCGGAACCCCAAGTGAGTTGGTAGAGTTCGGTGGGAAAGAAAGATTCTAATAAGAACAGAGTAAGTGGCCAGAGTGGGAGTGTGGCTAGGAATTTTGAGGCAGGTCACCTGGGTTCCTCGCCCCATGCTATGATCTGGAAGTCACTCTGGTCGGCTCATTCCAGCTCCTTAGATAGAAGGCCAGATAAAAATAACTCCTATTTCCCAAGTGCTTTAAGACTTACAAAGCACTTTCCTTGACACAAACCCATGAAGTGGGAAGTCCAAGGAGTATTAGCCTCATCTTAGAGATGAGGAAACTGAGACTCAGGAAAAGGAAATGACTTGTTCCCATGGTCCCGTAGGTAAACAAATTTCAGAGACAGGATTCAAACCCAAGCCTCCTGACTCCAAGTACAGTGCTCTTTCCACTACACTAAGATGTCTAATCTCTGCTGGGGTACCATCACCCCTCTCAGCCTCCCTGCATATGATCAGGTCCCCTATTTGCCTTCTCTGCAGATTTGAGGGCAGTTAAATGAAGCTGGCCCACTGGATGCTGAAAAGGAAGGGTGTAGGTGGGAGACACTTAGAGTTGGTGTCTTCTTGTCACTTGTATTCAGGGCGATGGAGCCTTTGCCTTTGAGAAGAAGGCCAGAACACAGATGTCAGGCAGATTGTTGACCATGGCAGGCTGGGGTCATCTAAGCAGATGGCTCATTCCTCTGAAGCGAGTGCTGAACAATACACAACCATTCCCAAGCTGGTTGGGGAGGGAAGCCAAGGGGAATAGTGTTGGATACTCAACTGGAGTGGGGGGGGCGGCTTGTGTTAAAGGTCAGAGGAGCTTTGGACTCCTGGAAGGCAGAAAGAATTGATCTGGGATCTTCACAAGAGAAAGGTTAGTAGAGAATGGAATAAAAGCCAGTCTCTTCCTTCTCCAATCCATCTTTTACATGGCCACCAAAGTGATATCTTTAAAACACAGATCTGACCACATCACCCTCTTACTCAGAAATCTTCAGTGGCTCCCTATTGCCCCAGGATAAAATACAAAATCCTAAATTTGACTTTTAAAGCCCTCCACAATCTGATTCCCATCTATATTTTCAGTCTTGTTTTATTTTATTTCCCTGTATTCCTTCCCATTCCAGTCTCATGGCCTGCTTGCTGTTCTTTGTGTACCACGTTCAATTTCCCACCTCCTTGCCTTTGTACAACTGGATTCCCCATGCCTGGAATGCACTCCTTCCTCACCTCTGTCTTGTAAAATCCCTACCTTCCCCCAAATCACAGCACAGATGCCACCTCCTATACAAGGCTTTTCCTGATTTCCCCTAGTTATTAGCTAGCTCATTCCCTCTTGAAATTACTGTGTGTTGCTTTACAACACAAATTTACATTTGCTTACTTGTGTGTAGGTAAATACTATAGAATGTAAACTCCCTGAAGGAAGAGGCTTTTCATTTTGTTCTTTTTACTATGCAACTTGCACATAGTAGGTGAATAATAAATGTTGGCTGAATGTTTTGCTGAAGGAGATCTACAGAAAAGTAAGGGCATGGGACTTGGTGAAGAAGCTCTGAAAACGACTGATCACATGGGGACTCTCTGTAACTGGTCAACTAGCTACTGTTGGGTTGCCATAGGCAATGATTTACCATTGAAGCCCATGATAAGTAATCCTTCAGTTTCTGCTTGACTACCTCCAAGGAAGAGGAACCCATCACCCACAAAAGCAACCTGACTCATGTTTTGACCATTCTAATCATCAGAAAGGTTTTCTTGATTCCTAGCTGAAATTGGAATCTCAGTAGCTTCTACCCAACGTTCCTGGTTCTGCCCTCTGGGACCAAAAAGAATGAGGCCAATCCTTCCTTCATGTGACATTCCTTCAAATATTTCAAGACCCTATCATGCCATTCCCTGAGTCTCCCCTTCTCTCCATTAAACATGCGTCGGTCCTTCGTGTCTTCCTTTTGTGTCATGAGCTCAAGGACCTTCATCATCCTACCTGCCCTCCTCTGAACACCCTTCAGCTCATCAACATCCCTAAACAGTGACTGTGGCATTTAAGCTGGCAAGGGTGGTGAACCAGACTAAGAACATATCCTGGAGGTGACACAACATTAAAAACATTGAGGGATTCTCTTACAAGACCTAAGGGAGAAGAGGACACTGAGAGAGCAGGAAAA